TTTTATAGAGCCACTCTATAATTTCAATATATTTTATATGTATTTTTTTAATATTGCTGAAACAGGAGTCTATGTGGTAGGGTTTTCAGTGTTTTAATAATGCAGAAATGTTGTACAGTCATCAGAAATTTAAAAACAACTTAGTTTTTCTTATATTTTTCATGTGTTATTGAAGAAAAAGTGTAAAGACAGACCAATAGAGCTGCAAGGTCCTAGACAGCCTCTAGCTTGGCTTGTGAAAAATGTCCTTTTTATCTATATTTTCTTCTCTTGTTGTCCTTTATATAAAAATATATTTAAAAAATATAAGCAACTGGCTGCAGGTAAAAAGCTGAGTGCCACAAAGTTGCTTCTTAATGGAGGAGAATTTCTCCCTCTGCATCAAAAACATTTAATGACTTACAGAGTGATGAATTAACTTCTGCACTAATTACTCACCCAGCAGCCCATGGGCAGTAAATAGAGCAGGGAGAGAAGAAAAGAGGCTTTCTCTGCCCTAAGATGGCATATATATATATATATATTTTAAAATATATATAAATATATAAATACAAGTATATATAAATATAAATATAAATATAAATATAAATATAAATATAAATATAAATATAAATATAAATATTAGAAATAGAAATAGAAATAGAAATAGAAATAGAAATAGAAATAGAAATCAATGGATATATTTATATACTGCATAGAATTTATATAAATTTCAATAATTATTTAATTATATATATATATACTTTATATATATAAAGTAAAAATATAAATGTATCCCATAAAAGTGGTCAGGCCTTGGGATGAGCTGCCCAGGGAGGGCAGCTCATGTAATTTATAATAATTTATATAAATAATATCTATATTTATATATATATATATATATATATATATATATATATATATATATATATATATATATATAAATTATATAAATAATATGACATTTATATAATATATAATTTATATAAAATATATCAATGTAATTTATGTCAATCTAGAGATTTATTTATTGTATATATACATATACTTTATATATATACTTTATATATATACTTTATACTTTTATATACTTTATATATATATACTTTATATATATATATACTTTATATATATATATACTTTATATATATACACACTTTATACTTTTATATATATATTTTATATATGTATACACACTTAATACTTACATATATATGCTTTATATATATACACACACTTTATACTTTTATATATATATACTTTATATATATACTTTATACTTTTCTCTATATACTTTATATGTATACACACTTCATATTTTTTATATTTATATATATACTTCATATATATGTATATATATATATATGTATGTATGTATATATATATATATATATATATATATATATATATATATATTTTTTATATTTTTCTATATATACTTTATATATATAAAGCAGAAATGAAAATTTATCCTATAAAATTGGCCAGGCCTTGGGATGAGCTCCCAGGGAGGTTTGGAGTCACTGGAATTGTCCCAGGGGAGTCTGGATGTGCCCTTGGGGACAGGGTTGGGGTGATGCGGGTGGGGCTGGGTTGTTGTCAGTCAGGTGAGCCCCAGGGGCAGAAATGCTGATGTGTGACTCCAGTTCAGAAGGATGAATGATTTCTTTATTATAACTATGCTATAATACATTAATATACTGTTTAAAGGAGATACTAAAACTATAAACTTCTTTTTCTAACTCCCAACTCGTGCCCCTCTCTGAGCACCCAGTCCCAGGTGGGTTGGATTGGCCACCAGGCTCAAACCATCCTCACCAGAATCCAACCAAGCAACACCCCAGGGAAACAATTCTCCACACACATTCCATGTGGGAAAACAAGGAGCAGAAACAGAAATTGTTTTCTCTTTCTTCTCTCTGTGCTCCTCTATGAAAAATCCTGAGAGAGAGGAATGTGCTTGGCACACTGGATGGTGCTGAAAGGTTTTTCCTGCCTCATATTCTGGGATCAGCCCAACTCCTGTGCGGGTATCCCCAAAATCCCCTCGGGTTCTCCGGGCACAGCTCTCATCACCCTGCGGGTGTCACTGAGCCCCGGGGCCTGTCCCTGTCCCTCCCTCTGTCCCCGAGCTGCTGCCACCACGTCGGGATCCTGCTGGTCCACGGGACGAACATCTCCCTGCACCCTGAACGCAGAGGAAAAATCCAAACCCCACAATTCCTATAAGGATTTGTAGGGACGGTGTGGGAATCATTCCCCTTCAAAGCACATGTGCGCCCTGAGAGCTCCTGATCCTTTTTTATTACCCTTTACTAATTGCCATATGCATAGGGTTTCACAATAGGTTCATGAATATTCATTCTGCTGATTTCACTTTACACTTACAGCTAGTGACACTTGTACCTAGTTTTTTGTCAGAAAGTACAGACAGAGCTCCTGGGTCACTCTGCACTCTTTGTTTCAAGGTTTGAGGAGTCTTCCTTATCTCTTCAGCTTGGAAATTCACGTTCTTTCTCCTCAGCTTGTTTTGTTAGTGCTGCAGAGTTACCAGACAAATTACAGCATTATTTTATTTCTGTTAACAAGCTCAAAGCAGCACATTTCACCTAAATGCAAACGGATTTCTACCCTGTTAAATTTCCCCTCTGCCTCAATCCTCAGGAAGACCCTTGGTCACCTCTGCTCTGCCATGGCTGGGTCAGTTCTTCAGTTCCTCTGATTTTCTTCACCCTCCAGCTCAGAGAGCCCAGAGGGAGCAGCGTGCCCAGCACAGCCTGCCAGGCCCTGGCACAGCCTGCCCACCCCTGGCAGTGCCCAAGGCCAGCTTGGATGGAGTCTGGAGCATCCTGGGAGGGTGGAAGGTGTCCCTGCCATGGCAGGGGTGGCACTGGATGAGGTGGCTTTAAGGTCCATCCCAACCCACGCTGGTCTGGAATGGTGCTGGGCACACAGCTGGCAGCACAGCTGGGCAAGGGCAGCAGGGCTGTGGCAACTCCTCACATGCAGAGATGCAGCTGGGAAGGAGCTGGTGGCACACAGTTTCTCTCCAGATGGTCCTGCCTGCTCCTCATCTCATCTCCAGATGGCTCCTCCAGGCAGGGCTGTCCCCAGCAGTGTCCCCAGGCTGCTGCTCCTGCCCTGGGCACAGCCTGGCATGGTGGGGGTGCCCATTCCCAGCACTTTTCCCTTCGGGGTGGGTAACACCTGGCACCAGAGGCAGGATGAGACCAGCTGGAGCTGAAGCCTCCATGCTAAGCTGTTTCAGGCTCAATTTTCCAGGACCCACAGCAGTTTTGTGCCTCCTGGCTGCTGGCAGCTGCCCAGTGCCACGGAGCGCTGCTCTGAGTGGGAGGAAAGCCACAATGGCAGCTTTTGAGCAGCTCTCAGCTTTGCCACCTACAAAACCAGGCTTTCCTGACAGAAACAAGGCTTTACTAAGCCAGCAGCCCAGCTGGCCCAGCAGTTCTGAGAGTTCTCATCCCCTGGCAGTCCTGGAGCACGGGGATTTGTCCAGGGAGGTTCCTCGGGTTCAGAGGGAGACCAGAGAATTTATTCAGCCCTTGCCATGCATCCCTCGAGCTCCTGCCTGCCCCAAGCCAGGCCCTTTTTTCCAGCCATCGAGCTCTTTGTGAAGGTCAGCACTGTGCAGTGTGTGTAAATGCAGGAGTTTTTGCTGTATTTCAGATTTGTTTGGTAGCACTGTGCAGTCAGTGTGTGTTCATTTATTCAGGAGTTTTTGCTGTATTTAAGATTTGTTTGGTAGCATTTTGCAGTCTGTGTTTGTTAATGCAGGAGTTTCTGTTGTATTTGTTATTTGTTTGGTAGCACTGTGCAGTGTGTGTTTATTTATTCAGGAGTTTTTGCTGTATTTGAGATTTGTTTGGTAGCACTGTGCAGTGTGTGTTTGTAAATGCAGGAGTTTCTGCTGTATTTAAGATTTGTTTGGTAGCATTTTGCAGTGTGTGTTTATGCAGGAGTTTCTGCTGTATTTGAGATTTGTTTGGTAGCGCTGTGCAGTGTGTGTTTATGCAGGAGTTTCTGCTGTATTTAAGATTTGTTTGGTAGCACTGTTTTGTTAATGCAGGAGTTTTTGCTGTATTTGAGATTTGTTTGGTAGCACTGTGCAGTGTGTGTTTGTAAATGCAGTTTTTGCTGTATTTAAGATTTGTTTGGTAGTATTTTGCAGTCTGTGTTTGTTAATGCAGGAGTTTCTGTTGTATTTAAGATTTGTTTGATAGCACTGTGCAGTCTGTGTTTGTTTATGCAGGAATTTTTGCTGTATTTAAGATTTTTTTTGTAGCACTGTGCAGTCTGTTTATGCAGGAGTTTTTGCTGTATTTAATATTTGTTTGGTAGCACTGTGCAGTGTGTGTTTATGCAGGAGTTTCTGCTGTATTTGAGATTTCTTTGGTAGCACTGAGCGAGGGGAAAAGGACAAACAGAACTGGTTTGATTTATGTGTTTTCTCGGGTTCTAAGGGCTGCAAACCTTAATGAATTAACCTCTTAACTGTGAGACACTTGGGTTTTAATACTTCTGCCCCTGATTGAATCTAAATTTTAAAGCTGTGCTTTAGGAGAATCACGTGAAGGGTTTAAAAATGAGAGCCCTGATCTCTTGCAGAGTTACACCGAGTCTCCCTCAGCAGCACCTCTGCAAGACTTTGCCTCATTTTAACAAAGTCTCTTAACAAATTGCAATATAAATTACCTGAGAGCAACACCTCTGTGGCCACCTTCTCCAGGGCTCCCAGAACCCTTTACGTTGAAATTATTAATTAATTGATTTATTCTGCTTGTTCCCTTCAGTGCTTTAGACATCACATCTCTGTTTAGGCTGGTAAATATTTCTCTGTTCCTTTCCTGTGGTCATAAACTGATTTAACTCACTTTAATCTTGCAGTGACTCGTGCAGATTTATGAACACGTAGACAAATGATGTGGAGGCTGTTTCCTTTGCAGGGACTGCTGTGATTTACACACAGATGTGTTTATAATTTGTAATTTTTCCAATTGTAGGCTGGCAGTGATGGGGAAAGTATTGGGAACTGCCCTTTCTCTCAGCGCCTCTTTATGATCCTGTGGCTCAAAGGGGTCATATTCAATGTCACAACTGTGGATCTGAAAAGGTGAGATTGATTTAATCCTGACATTTTAACTTCGTAGCACAACTTTCCCAAAACTTTTTTTAAAAGGGTTGTGGGAATCCAGGGCTTCCCTCTGTCCCTGGCAGGTCTGGGACCCTGGCAGGGGTCAGGAACCCCCTGGACAGAGCCCCCAGAGACACTGGCTGTGATCTCTGCCCATGCAAAAGAGTTTTCAATCTCACAGGATCAATTACCAGCTCTGAGTGTTTGATAAAAGTAATAATTAAGTGTGGCACGGGTGCAAAAGTAAAATTTTAGGATTCTAGATGAGGGGTCCAAAGGGGACAAGCTGGAGGAAATTGGGTGTGTCTTGTCCTTTTTCTCCTTCTTCATGCCCTCCATGTCTCACTGTGGTGTTGGCATTTTTCTGTTGGTTCAGGCTGGGGACACACTGTCCAACGTAGGTGACAGATCTTGGCACGTTATTGTAAATCCAGCCCAGGGAGTTTCTGGTATTTAATGTTTGTCACATCCCACTGAGGGCAGAGCTGGGCAGGGCAGCAGAACATGTGAGAGATAAACAGAATAAACAACCTGGAACCAGCACAGACCAATTATGGCTTCTGCTTTGGCAGCGGGGCTGACAGACAGAGACTTTCTAAATCCTGGAATCATCAATAGCTCAGATTCCAACAAAGGGTGACTCTTTTCTGCCGGGCTGGGAGAGCTGGGTGTGTCCAGCCTGGAGAAGAAACGGTTCTGAGGAGACCTTAAAGCCCCTTCCAGTGCCTCATAAAAAGGAGGGAGAAGGACTTTTAATGGCTTTTTCTTTCTCAGAAAACCTGCGGACCTGCAGAACCTGGCCCCGGGCACCAACCCCCCGTTCATGACCTTCGATGGGGAAGTGAAGACCGATGTCAACAAGATTGAGGAATTCTTGGAGGAGAAGCTGGCGCCGCCCCGGTACTGCACTCCCGACCCTCAGGGCTGCACGGGGGGATCCCAGGGCCTGCTCCAGCTCAGGGGTGGCTTTGGAACAGAGCTGGAGCTGGGGTGTCACTGGGGTGTCCCCAGGCTGTCCCCAAATCACGGCTGTGCCGCTCCCACTGCTGTCCTTCATCCCGAGCTCACTGCTGGGTCACTCCCAGGGCATGGAATCCATCCTGTGGATGATGCTGTTCCCTGCTCTGACTTGGCATCACTTGAGGCTTCCCTTTCCACACCTCACAAATCACAGGGAGGGGGAAGCTCAGGGTGACCTTGATGCTCTCCAAAACCACCTGAAGGTCACTGCAGTGAGGTGGGGTCGGGCTCTTCTGCCGTGTCCCAGGTGAAGGGATGAGAGGAAATGGCCTCAGGTTATGCCAAGGGAGGTTCAGATTGGAGACTGGGAAGATGTTTTCCCTTCAAGAGTGCTCAGGCATTGGAATGAGTTGCCCAGGGTGGATCACCATCCCTGGAAGTGTTCCAGCCATCTGGATGTGGCCCCTGGGGACATGGTTTGGGTGGGAATGCTGGGAGTGGATGGTGTGAAGGTGTTTTCCAACCTGGTGATTCTGGAACTCTGTGAAGCTGAGGGCAGTGAACACCTCAGTGCTGGGGCTCTTGGAGTGTCCACGTGGGTCCACCAGGCTGCACATGAGGGTCTGAGTTTTGGATTTGTCCTTCCCCACCCCAGCAACCCTTCCTACCTCTGTCCCTGCGTTGTCCCAGCATTGTGTCCCCTACCCCAGAGACCTTTTCTCCTCTGGGATATCAGTCCTCTCCCTGTGCTCCCTTCCTTGTTTCTGTCAGGAAAGCCTGGTTTTGTAGGTGGCAAACTTAACTTAAACCAGGGAAGCAGCTGCTTGTCTCCACTTTTTTGCCATTTTTATCCATCCCTGGCAGCTGCAGCTCCTGGAATTACTGTCAGTTTGCTGATGGCCAAGTGGGCTGGGCCAGGAGCCCGAGAGGAGCAGCAGCTCCTGCTAGTGGGGATTTTCCCTCCACTCCTCCTCATGGCAGGAGCCACGTTCCAGGCAGCCTCACCTCTGGAGGAGAAAGCCTGGAAGACACCCTGGGGTGTTTGAGCAGTGCTTGAAGCAATAATCATCATTTCCCACTGCCCTCAGGAAAATATTATTTAGGTAGGGTTTAAAATAAGTGATTTTTAGTTTAGGATGGTTCCCTTTGAGTCCTGTGTGGCTGTATGTGGTCACCCTACCAATAAATGTGTATTAAGTAGTGGAGACAAAAATAAAGGATAATTGGGTCACTTCTTTTTGTTTCTCTGAACTTCTCAGGTATCCCAAACTTGCACCGAAGCACCCTGAGTCAAACTCTGCAGGAAATGATGTCTTTGCAAAATTCTCTGCATTTATAAAGAACCCGAGAAAAGATGCAAATGAAAGTAGGTGCTGCAGTCCTGACATCAGCCCTGGGAGGGAGAAACCAGACCTGTGCAGTTGTAGGACACTGCTGGAGATGTCCCATTTCCAGCTCAGGTTAAACTGATATTCCAGAGTGTGGAGGCTTTGGAAATCTGTACCTGTTCCCTCCTTTAATGGAGGATTCCAAGAGCTGATGGAAGCAGATACTGCTGTCACCATGGCAGCACCAATTCCAGCCTCTCCTCACTCCTTCAGCCCTGGGGTCTGCCAGGCTGCACCTTCTTCACAGCTTTGCCAAAAACACAGCCCTCTGGAAGTGAGGGATTCCCTATTTCCATAAATAATGAGGACTCCAGCCCCTTGGCACATCCCTAAAGCAGGACACTAATGACCACCATGAATGGCTGGAGGAAGGCAGGGTGGGATGAAATTATAGGGAGAAATCCTTTCCTGTGAGGGTGGTGATGCCCTGGCACAGCTTGGTTGTGGTCTCCCCATCCCTGGAATTGTCCAAGGCCAGCCTGGATGAGGCTTGGAACAGCCTGGGACAATGGAAAGTTGCCCTGCCATGGCCACTGGGTGGGCTTTGAGGTCCTTCCCAACCCAAACCGTTCCAGGAGTCTGTCCTTCAGTCTCAACCTGTTCCTTGGGTTGGCTTTGAACACCCCAAAGTGGCATCCCGGGGACTTGCTGTTGTCACTGCAGCTCTGCTGCCATTCCTGGCTTTGAACACCCCAAAGTGGCATCCCGGGGACTTGCTGTTGTCACTGCAGCTCTGCTGCCATTCCTGGCTTTGAACATCCCAGAGTGGCATCCCGGGGACTTGCTGTTGT